GTAGAACCCCTCATTCGTATCATCAAGCTTGGGCTCAGGCTGGAATCAGCCAGCAATTCTTTTGACTTGGTTTGCCAAACTCTGGGCAATCAAATGTCACTCTCCAATAAGAACAGAACTGTTTAAGTGCTGCAAAATACAATTTCCTCATCAATGAATCTGAGTATATCAGGGTGATGCTGAGCTGCTTTCCCAGTAATCATGAACCTTTCCGCAGCTGAATGCGCTGAGAGCTCCTGAACAGAACTTTCTGATCCCAGTCTTGCTTGCATCTGTCAAGAAATGTAATTACATCTTGTTTAGCACTGAAATGGAGCTTCATCAAAACACATTTACTATGTGTAACAAGGTAGCTGAGGTAAGTGATACCGAAAGGAATGAAGGCTGATGGGAAGGAAGAAGTGGAGTTGGAGGAGCAACATAACATAACTAAGAGAGACGAACGTGTGAAGCAGAGGAAGAAATTGTGTTACTCTAGGAAGTCTTAAAGAAATGCTGAAAAGACTTCCAAATGTCTAAAAGGGTATAATAAACAGGTCAGCTAGAATCACAGGCCACATTAGCATGGAAAGGCTGAAAAGCAGTAATCACAGAAACAAGAACCACCATGTTTCCCATCTGCTTTAGGGTTAAGTTGATGTATACTGAGGTGTCTTCAGCCCTGTGTTGAGGCAAGCATTTTGTTAAAACCTGGAGAATATCGCTGAGCTGGGATTTTGGATAAGCAATCATTTATTTAGATTTGAGACTTCCCATTCTTAGATGGCTGAGTAACACCTGCTACTCTCAATATATGTGGAAGAGACTGCATCATCAGAAAGCTCTGCTGAGTGGTGATGGCATCGTGCTCTCTTCTGATGTACTGCAGCACCACTGCTAAAAGCCCCATCATGACATCATACTGGCAGGTCTCTCTGAATCCCTGTCTCTGATTTTATCATTGGAATAAGGTACAAAGTAGTATGGGGGATATTACTATAAATATTTTTTTTGCGATTGCTGTAGGAATGCTCAGCTGAAATGAAGACCAGTAATAGAGCTTGAACCAGCAGTATTTGCCACTATAAATGACTTCCTGTGCTTAGCAACCCCTCTTATGTCAGGACTCCATTGTGCCAGGTGACGAAGAGAGATGTTGATGAAAGATGGTCTATCCAAAACAACACATTAATCAGACTCATATGCTGATAGAGCAAACCAATTGGTTCAAGGTATTAAATGTTAAAGTGATTAGGCCTGAGACTGCCAAAAACATTCTCTGCGTGCGTGTGGGACTGGGACATATATCCAGGCTTAGCTCAGACAGTAACTTAGCCTTTGAAAACCTCAAAGTCCAGGAAAGCAGGCTATACTCAGAACAGAGTAGCTTCAAGCCAAGCCAGCACAATACACCTTCATTGGGATGGGACAGAAAGCACCAGATTCTTAGAGGGGCTGCCAGGGTTGCTGGCACTGCAGCATGCACTTCAGCCAGGTACACAGGTCAATGCGTGGCCATTTTGCTTTACTTGGACTAACAAGCCATCTGCTAGGGCAGATTTTGAAAAATGTTTGAATCTTCGTGTGTCTCTTCTTTACAGCCTATAATGATCCACAGCTGTAAACATGCAGTATCCTTGTCCCAGCTGTACACAGCTCTTGCTGGGAGAAAAACATGGAGACGGAAGCTTTGGCTTGGGTCCACATCTGACCATTCCCACTTTCACAAGTAGCCACCCACTGACAGATGGAGAAGGTCTACAGTCATTCAGGCAGACAGCCACACTAATGTACTTCTACAACCTACAAAACCTGCATGCCAAAAGTAGCATCCACTGATGCTAAAGTATCCAGCTTAGAGGTCTTAATGAGAACTGGCTGAGAACTGTCCCACCACCTTTCATAATTCAATGCCTGAATGAACCTGGCAGAGTGGGGTAACTGAATAGAGCAGAGCCATTTCCTCACCAGCATTTAAGTATCATTTTTCATATGTCCCACTGCACTAATCAAGTTTTATCCACTTAGTGCATTTAACCTGCTTTCTTCCTCTCTGAAAAACCTGTATTCAAGGAAGGAGTGTGAACCATCATTTCCACAGGGAGTTATGTTACTTGATTCCATCAAGAGCAAGAACCAGGAAACAAGGAAAAGGTGTCCTTGTTGTAAAAAGCCTGGGGCAAGCTCTGTGGTTCCAACAAATACCAAAACTCACTGGAGCAAGCTTTTAACCCAATAGCATGTGAAATCCCCTTCTCCGACCAGCTTTCAAAGTTACTGTTCACTACATAAAGCTCTGTACAGTGTATTTTAGCTGAAGAAGGATACCCTACAGCCTCCAAAAGTGTTTCAGAACACACTGATTGCCACAATTTCCAGACACAAGGGTGTTACTAGAAGATGCTATAGGATTTTCCCCTGTGTGTTAGCAAAACATCAATCAGGCATGTAAAGCTCTGGATGGGAAGAATTTTCCATCTAGGTACAGACAATCCTTCCCTCTTTCTCTACCTCCTTCAGAGGCATCTGTACATACAGACCACCTAGCTGCCTCCTCTTAGCTTTTCCCTTAAAATTCACGTGTCTTATTGGTTACCACCTACTCCCTAGGACATGGGAATCAGCTTTGGTTTGAGCAGAAGTCCATAGCACAGCACAACGACTCTGTCCTTCAAGAAAACTTGCTACGTGAGCTGGTTTGACAGAAGGATTCATCAGTGCCATAATTCTGACCAACAGGAATCATTCAGCTGCTTTGTCAGGCATCCTGCTGATTTTAAACATACATTTAAGCAGACACAGAGTGAAAGAACAGTCACCTGCATAAGACAGCCATTCTTAGCAATGCCTCTTCCTGGTGAATACACCAAGCCCTGTTTTAACTATCATAATGCTTAGGAGGATGCACTGAGATAGTCACTGCCTGCTCACACGTCAGTGACAGCATGCCACACTATTCTAAGCCCATTACCCTCCTTCAGCCCTTGTGCTCTGCCCCTGAAACACTGCAAACACAGTAAGTCAAGCCACAATAAGTTGTTCCCTGTCAGACACAGTTGTCTGCATTTCCCTCCACCAGCTCGAGCTCATGTTCCCTCTTACCTTGTTGATAATACCTTCTTCTTCTTTCTAAAGAGGATGGGAAAAGTATGGCCTCTTCATGCATTTCTACAAGGTTAGGGTCAGAGCAGTGACCTTTCTGCTGTGCACCAAGATGATAAATGACATCCAGCATTTAAGTGACACAGCAGGTCTAATAAAACACTAAAGCGATCCAAAGTATCTATCTCAGACAGGACTCCTCAGTGTGAATAGTGGTACCCAGCTGCGTTCACAGGACTTGCAAATTACAGCTGGCTTGTCCTGTCTGCATAGGAAGGCTATAGTAGCATTTACCTATTTTACTGATTGAACACATCAAAGCAATTAGGGAGCTCCTGGCAAGTGACAACAGGGGGTGCAATTTCTTTCCAGTAGCAAGCTTCAAGGGGTATTCTGTGTTCTGACATAAAGTGCAAATATAATGTCAGGTACTACTGATTAGTTTCATACCAGTGCTTCTAAGAGATCAGTAGAGTGCATGTACTAAGAAAAAAACCAGAGACTAAAATGCTGTAGCAGTAGGAAACCATGTGTGGTTCTACAGTCAGATTTCTTCAGTTAAAACTGAGTATCTTCCACACCCTACAATGGTGGGAAGATGGTGAGTGACTTTGGAAAAAAAGGGTGTGGAGAGAAGCCTTATCTAGTGGAAAAGAGCACAGAGATAAGAAGAAAGAAGCTGTGGTTCAGTTCTTTCAGTGCTTCAGTTCAAGATCTTTGGCTTTACCTCATATATTCTCAACAGATTATGATGCTGCGATCACTTAGACAGTCTGACCTCACAGTGTGTTAGCCCACCTCCCACCTATCTAACCTCTGATATAAGACACACCCAGTGCTGTGACCTGCTCTCACCCCACCATCCAGCTCTGATACAGAGTGTACACCAACCACCTTTGTTGAGTGGAAAGGCTGATTACTACTGTAGCAAATGAAATAAAATTACTCCAGTGATTATGTCTGTTAAAATACTTTTAGGTACACAGGTCAGGACTAGATTACAAGCCTCCTGCTTTTATGTGATCAAGTTAATGGTTACTGCCAGAAGAAAGACATCCCAGACACCTCCTGATTTGGGTATATTCTAACTAGTAATGATTTGAATTTGAACATGCAATTTCAACAGGAGAAAAGATTTTGCTGAAATTAACGTACAGGGATAGATTAATGGTTTTAATACTGATTAGTGGCAGAAAAGAAAAAGTAAGAGTGGCAAGACAAATTGATGCATCTGACACTAACTGCTACAGTCTGTGGTTTCTAAGATAAAAGCTTCCATATACAAGGTTTGTATCTTTGATGGTTAGTTATAACTACATATATCACCAAGTCCCTCATGATTACACTGAATAATTTGAGGCATTCTAACTTAAAAAATATTACAACAGCTGTGTCAGTTGTCTCCCTCTTTTCAAGTATCTCCAGCTTTGAGCCCAGGCTCTGGATTTCCAAAAGCAGGTCTTTTGATACCTTAAATGTAAATAACACAGCCAGCAAATTTAACTCCTTCAGTGGAACAACTATAGCTCCACTGAAAGATCTAAAGATCTATGGAAAGATCTTTACTGTTTCATTGTCTGGATCATATGCAGTCTGTGCAGCAACACAGAAAGATTCTATAGTTCAATTTGTTAGCACAGAGAGTCTGTTTCTAGCGGAAGCAGACAGTCTTTTGCCACTTTTCTAAAGAAAAAAAAAGCTCCTTAATGTTAAAATGCCCAGCTTACTTTTTAAATTCAACTAAAATCTAAAATCCAAACTTCCTGCTATATCTGCTTTACCTTCTTTGCTTTTGTATGTTTCCAAGCTTGGACTGATTCATAGCTGCCTTTTCTACACACAGAGATTTGCAGACCTTTTTCTTCAAAGCATCTAAGATACTCAGCTCACACTGCAGAATAATGAGTAGTCAGGACAACTTCATGGTAAAGTTACTCTTGGTGATTAAAAAGCTATGCAAAGCCAACCACCGAAAACAGAAATGACAGTACTTCTTTCTCCATTGCCCACAAAACCCATCATGGTTCCTATGATTTACCACATCAGACCCCTCACAAAAAGCACACGATATGAATAGCTCATGTTACAGTTGCACATCTTTAAGCTCTGTCAGGCCTCCTCCACAAGATTTTCTTCCTTTAAAATGTTTCAGTAATGCTACAGCTTCTACAAGGGTCTGTACTCAGCTGAGGTACATGAAAGCAGTGCCATTTTCCTCATACCTGCAACTCATCTCTTGGCCCTCACTCTGTACTCATGACAAATGAAATTGTTAACAGGGCTTATAGTTCAGTAGTGCTTACTGGGTTCAGCAATCCCCTGCAGGGGGGACAGACCAGAAAGAGGTTACCCTAAATGTCACTAAGGAAATCTGTAGACTACAACCCCAGAAACTCCGTGTGACAGCTAAGTTTCTGAAAAGGACAGAGCTGCACCAAATGGGCACCAATTAAACAGTTGCTTTCTGATTTCTAGTTCTCACTTAAGTTCTCTTGTTCTTTTTGTTTTCTAAAACTTCCCTCCATACGTAAAGCAATTAATATACTAGCATAACTGCATTAGTAAAGTTGTGGACATATAAGAACATCTAGGTAACGACTTTTTCACTCCAAGTTACTTAATGCTGGTAGCATGATCACAATTACAAAATAATTTACCTTAAGGTCAATATATTGTCTTTCAGAATGGAGCTGGAATTGATTACCACCGATAAAAACAACAAGGAAAAAAGCAAACAAAAATGAAACACACTAGGTATTGCAAAAGGCATGACTAGAAAAATATGATCTTTTAAGCTGAATTGTCCTTGCAAACACTTTCCATCTGAAATGTTGACAACTTAAAAGACTTCTTTAACTTTGTCTGTTAAAAGACTGTTTGAAACAATTGCTTTTTTCCCCACTTTGTTTTCGTGTTTCACAAAACAAAATAAGAGGCAGGCACACTGTATCTAAGGACTTGAGACCAGATGATACTACAACAGCAAACGGTACACTAGTAATGTTCCTGCACACAGAAAAGGGAAAAAAAAAAAAGTAAAAAACCCAACAAAAACAACTGACTGGTGCATTTGATTGATAGATTCATGTCTGTTTTGATGGACAAAAGTAACTTTTGTCTTTCATCAAAGTCAAATATAGTACCTGTACACAATAAAAAGAAACATAAATGCTGACAGAGTGTGCATCTCTTGATGACTTGGGTTTGGACATTTCTTTAAAGGAAGCACAGAAACAGGGAAGAGCAAGCACTATGCACTTCACACATCAAGGAAGTCTTACCTCTGACTGACAGAGGAATAGAAATACAGAGTAAGAACTGCTGTTCAACATTGCTTTTTCATCATTAGAGCTCACACTCCCAAAAGGCAACCACAAAAATCCAGAAAAAATAGGTTTTAAGATAAGTAAAGAAATTAAAAGGTCAGACAGTTCCTGCTGTGGACAAAAATCAGATCTTGCAGTTCTGAGAAAAAACATTCCTCATTCTGCCTCAAGTCGAGGTAAGACAGGAAGAATAAGATTTCCAAACGCAGAGTCTTGAGTTATGAAGTATCCTGAGGAATGTGCATGTGCGTGCTGGAAAGAGAAAAACATTTGTTAAAACATAAGTCCCTGCAGCACTGATAAAAATTTAAGACTTTACAGCTTTTGCAGCATTAGTTATTTATTTCCCCCAGTCTGCTCCTTAACTCCAATAGACAAATTCAAAACCAGCATTTCAAGTCAGCCATATCTGAACAGGGCCCATCCAGGGAATTAACTCAGTCATTCCATGCTACTCCCTTCTCAGCAAATCCCATGGAAGTAGGGAGAGTGGTAAATGAACTCCCGATCGCTCTCCTTTGCTAGACCCCATGCTTCTACTCCTGCTTATAAAAAACTTAGAGGTCTTCGTTTGTGACAGCTGCCACATATGACTGCCAGAAACGTGCATCAGTAGTGCCACACAACCTGAGGCTGCATGTACAAGTGACAGGTGATCAGACACACTCCTGTACAACCTAGGACACCAGCGTTCTGCTCATGTAATGTATGTATGCTTCTTCACCCGAGGAGGGCAGCTGCTGCTTATGGCTCTAGACAACCTTTGTAAAATCCTATGCAATCCTTCCCAGTTCTAAGACTGGACGCCAGTAAGCTAGATGGCCTGGATATTCCTTCCTTCTACCACTAGGGAATAACCCTGATGGATATCAAATTTAGCCTGAGCCATCAGCATGCCCTTGCAGTAATAACGGCTACCAGCACAACAGGCTGCATTGCCAACAGCCAGGCCAAGGGAAGCCACCCATGAGACTGCGTTTGCAATACTGTGTTCAGTTTGAGACACAATCTAGAGGGAGTCCAGCAGAGACCCAAAGAGTCAGCTGGGCTGGAGCTCTCAAGGTCCAAGGGGCTGGTGAGAGAACTGAGCTTATTTTAAGAAGAGAACGCTGAGGTGAGATTTTACGCTGTTTTCAGACACCTAGTGACAAGGTATAGAGAAGACAGAGCCAGACTCAGAGTCAAGAAAGGCTGGTGAGAAGTCTGTCCCGGCAGAGCTTCGAAACTTGATTGGACCATGCCCTGAACAATGCAATATAGCACTGCTGTTAATCACACTTTGATCAGGGCACTGGACTAGAAACTCCAGGAGATCCTTCCAGCCTACGATGTTCTGTAATCAACACAGGACGCCACTCAGAGCTCACTTCTGCTTCCATTAATTTTAGGAGAAGAAATTGGGGGCCTTTACTGGCTAACAGAAACAAGGCACAGGAAATGTGAACAGGTTTGCCAGTTTGCATTTCAACATTTTTCCCCACTCCTGTGCCCTCTGCCAAACCATGTTGTCTGGAGTGCCAGGAAGGCAGGTGGCCACGTACTGGCTTTCCTGCTCAATTTCCAATTTCAACACCATAATCAACCTCACCTGACATGAGCAAAATAGCAGCAAACAGAAGCCTGTAAATGTACAAATAAGTTTCCCAAATCTTTCATCCCTGTCGCTAGTGACTGCAGGTTATTTACTTTCCATCTACTCAGATTCAAACAAGGAAAGGAGCGTGGCTAGTTCTCCTACACTTCATGAGACATTCAGAAGTATAAGACTGAATCTTGACTGAGATGTACAAAACAGCTATGATGATACTGTAGGCTACATTCTTACAACCATATCAAGGGAGGGTGAGCTGACAGATTTAAGTTTTCATCATAACAGAATAAGAAACTTCATCTGTGACAAACACAGAACTGTATGAAACCTAACCTCTAAAAGGGGCTTTTCAGTCTCTCTAGGTGCAGGACTGCTCTCTGAAGGGATGCACACCTAAAACAGAGCCAAGCTAAACTCTACCTGGCTGTATCAGCTTACCTGCAGTGCAGCCTTCTGCTGTGCTGCGATGTGTTGCTGCTCAGCATGATCACGGAAATCCTTGTTCAGCGGTGATCTTGCAAGTGCAATGCTGCAAAAAAACCAACACAGTACGATACATACCACAGAAAAAAATGTGTCCTCACCATTCTATCCATAGATTCCATGACTTCCACAGCTCTTGATTTATCTGACTCACTCACATCCTGACATTTGTTAACTATTGTTTGGAATTACTCTTTGCTAACATGAGAGAAAAGGAAAATGGAATTACTTTAGCTGTATCATTTGACCTTGCATAAACAACTGATGCCAAACTGAACCCAGAAGACTCAGTCCTGAAGCTTGTTGTGGATTTAGCTCATGGGTGCAGTCCCACTGAAGTCAGTGGAACCACTGAGGTGCAACATTAGACAACATCAGCAATTTTTGAAACAGCAGCTTTGTGTTTTCACCATTACTCATTCACTCAGCGACTGTTCTAAACAACTGTGATAAACAGAAGCACTAACAAGAGCTCTGTAGTCTTCAGTATAAAACTAGCTCTTCAGCAGGCAGGCAGCAGATCACTGCTTATGGCAAAGGAGCTTCATACTGATGTAACTGAAATAATGATCCTCTGATGATAGCTTAGAGTACCTAAAATTGATTTTGCTTATCTATCTCACTGCAGCATACATTAGGTTTCAAATTAAAATTTCTGAATAGGTTTTCTTGGCTTTTGTATCTCAAGACTTGTCCACCTTGTTAACCAAAAAGAAGAAATAAAAAGCAGACATTTTTTCCCCAACTATATATTAATGTGATCAGCCATCCTTCAGATAGAAATCAGTGAGGACTGCCATTAGAGATGTATCGTAAGGCAACTCACAACTACCTCTGACATTGGCTCTGGAGACTGGTGCTGAAAGCCCAGCTCTTCTCAGTCATAGAGACAAAGTATGAAGGACAACAAGGGATCCACGCAAACTCATCAACAGTTGATTTAGTAAATCAGTTTTTCAAAAGCAGCTATGCCCATGTAAAGACCCTTTAGCCAAATCAATACCTAAATGCATAATGAAAGCTAAATAACAATCCTCTGACGAAGTCTGATGACAAATATTAAGATGAGTTTCACTGCTGGAGAAAAGTACTACTCAGTTTATTTAAAACACAACGTTTTCAGTTATTTTGTATTTAATTTTGTAGTCTCTAACTTTTCCATACAATTTCTATAGATAATCTTACAGCTTCATCATAAACTGACACTTTTCAAGAGAGATCTTTTGTTCTTGGACAGAGGATTCGCATATGCCAAGGCCAGAAATCAATCAACTCATTCAGCCTTATGCTGGCCATGCTGCTATTGTGCTTTAGGTACATCAAATTCTTTTCTGTCATGTTTGCAGAACTCCTGTGGTCTCATTTCTGACAACTCTGTGGCCTAAAATCTCTGGCATAACATCCCTGCCACAGAACTGTCTGCTTCTCAAAAATCACCCATCAGTCCACCATGCCGAAGCAGAGTTCGACTGCTGCTTTTATAGGCTCCCCCCCATCCCCAACTTCAAAATTAGTAAATTCTAATTCTGCTCACTAGCATATGGTGCTATTTTTCCTTAAAGAAAAAAGAAAGCAAACAAGCACTCCCCAAAACTGCCAGACTTGCAATGAAGTATGGAAACACTGTTGCCAGGAGTCAGGGGTTGTACATAACAGTATGTTATTTCTACTTTTTTTTTTCTCCTAATCAATAATTTTGCTTGAATAATAACTGTATACACAGTCACTCAGAGATCTAACTCAGGCAACTTCAAATATTCCGCATGTTTTTTGACAGTATGAAGGAAATAAATGTGACCTAGCGTTTCCTTGAAAAAAGACACACACTACTCAGATTGTATTCAGAGTATTTTACTCTTTTACAGATACTGCATGTAACAGTGTCTAGAATATGGCACTGCACTCACTTCATGCTAACCCAAAAGTTCAATTCAATTTCCCCACATAAACCAGCACATGATTTTCTGGTTACTGATTTATGAGAAAAATCTTGTCTTTCTGTCTTAAATGGAGGAAATCCCAGTGACAGCTCAAACTCGGATGAGATTATTGCACTTTATTGTGTAGAATCATCCCTGTAACACAGCATCTTTTACAAGAAGATGTGCAGTAACATAAACTGGCTTTGTCTTGCACACAGGGAATTTCAAGGATAACTCACTCCCTGCTGTAACTGTTCTCCTTTAAACACACAGTACCCTGAACCTAATTGTCTGCTACTTCCATACCGCGGGGCATTTTAGCTTAATAATTAAATGCTTTCTCAGTGCCTGCTCCCTGATTCTTCTTTAAGGTAGAGTTTAATGCCGTTGAGCAAGCATATCTGCTTCTCCCCTTCTCAAATGGAAATTATGTAAGCCAAAATACAGGGTCTGTAAACAATACTTATATGTTCCTAAAGTGCAAGGTCTCTCTGACTGGTTATTGAGGACGGTGAGAAAAGACTTCTGGTAAATGTTTATGCAAGTTTACAGCTCACTTGCTATTTTTTTTTTTCTTTGATATAGTCAGTGATGTCCGAACAGGTCTAAGAACATAAAATACCTGGCTCCAGGGTGATTTGTGGAAGACTGGTTTTGCATAAGTAACTTTCTCTTCTCCTTGTCTAGTTCTGCCAGGATTGCAACCCTATTTTTATTCTGGAAACCTGGTGGGAATGACAGAAAAATATTAGAGAGATTTACTTGATTTCTATGGCCCAACTCTAACCTTGTGGAATTAAAAGTCTCTGTACAATATGACATTATGATGAATACACTAATCTTCAAAGCTTTGCAACTGTCTGAAAGGCTATTAATAAATAGGTTTCATTTTTCCTATTCTCATTTTACAACATGAAATAGTTTCCTTAAGCCATCATAGATATTCATATGTTTTAAAACACAGGTTTCTATCTCAAGTTAGATCCTACCCCTTCCCAAGCCAGCTCTGGAGCTATAAACAAGGTACATGATGAAATACTTGCCTTTCATAAAAAAGTAAACTTACCAGGTTCTAAATTTAAAATTAACATACTGAACGTACAACCCAATGATAATAATGGAGTAATATACTTACAGGGCCTAATTTCTCATGCCAGTGAACTCAAACTATAATAAAAGTTTTACATATGTAAGAGGTAGGAACTTGCTCATGTGCTTATACAAAAATTTACCACGTTTTATTCAACTTATGCAGAAAGGTTTTAGTTTTAATATACTGATGTCCTTACATATACACACTACCCTTATTCTTAGTATGACCACAATAGAGTATGACCACAGTGCTGGAATAGAGAAGCAAAATTAAACTGTCTGGACACAATACCAGAACGTGGCCTTTATTTGCTTTGTACATCATTCTCCCAAAGGGACCTTGTTTACTAGAGAAGGAGTCGGGTAGTAGAGTGACTGAGGGAGTTTAGAAAATCCCTGAAATAGCTGCCATTTGTGTATTTTTAAAGTTGCCCTCTAAATGAAAATGTGGCAAAACTGCTGCACTTACACAGGACTCTTACATGGTCAACGATCTCAATGCAGCCACCAAATACACCAGGTACACAAGTCCCTGATGTTGCCCAGGATGCCCATACAGCACAGTTGAGGACAACAGCTAGAGATGACTCTTACAGGCCTCTATGCCACTAACAATACACCTCATGTCAAAATACACACTTTTTTAATCTATAATTTCCTGCTATTCTATAAATATCAAGCCACTACCGTGTCATTAAAAAAAAAAATAAAAAGGTAAAAGTCATCCCCTTTATTTCCTCTATACAAAACATCAAGTCATTCCCATTGGAAACTGCTGTGAGTTGTGCCCTTGCCCCCATTCTCAGTGCTGTTTTAGTAAGACCACCAAAAAATGGTAGCCTACAAACTGTTAGGAAGACCAGACTCAGTAACTCTTAAGGGGAATATTAGCATGTCAAGGTAGAATTATTTCAACTTTCAGTAGTTGCACTCAAAAGTTCATTCCCTTTGAGAGATCTTCTGTCACTGCTCAATTACATAATCCAGTATTCCTTTCATCAGCATGGTTCAACAAAGGAGACAATTACCAGGTAGAAACCTTCAACTGTAAATAATAATTTGCATCCATATTGCCTTGCTATCAAACCCTCACCTTTTTCTTTTACTATGGCTAACGTGCACCTCTGAGCCTCAGTGTATCAGAGTTCTCAAAAGGAGCAGTTGTTTGATTACATTATACTGTGTTTTTATGCAAGACCACTCATAATCATCTTTAAATTTAATTTTAAAAAAATCTGTTAACTAATGTAATTAATTGCTATTTTCCTGTCTGTTAATCTCTCCTTCCCATGTGGCATTAGTTTCACTTAAACTCTGTTTTGTAATTGTACTGAATTGGGTCTTCCATGTCTCTCTGCACTTTAGGTATTGTACACTTTTTCTGAACACCCTGTACTTGCAATGAGTTTGAAAAGTTAAAACACTGCTGAATGCATGCTCTAAGAGCACAAAGGCTGAGAGATCTTGCTGATAAGCTAAGATTCAATATTTCCGAGTTGCAGGTAGCCCAGAGTTTACTCTTGTAAATTCTGGAGAAAATGCTGTGTTAGAATGACTGAAGTACCTCTAAGAGGGTCTGAGCTAAAGTGATCTTGTCTGTATGCTCATTCCACACAGTTTTCAGCCAAAAAGCTTAATACTTGACATATTACTCAGCAGCCTTCTGCTAGTGCTTTTTTATCCCAAACGGCATAAATCTAAATGCATGCTTGGAATTCAGATGATATGGTGACTGAGGCAAGAAAAAGGAGACTACTTTTTAATATAAGTTGTTGTCAGCTAAAAAATAGACTGAGTCTGCTTACATTTATCATGAAGCAGATGGTATGATTCAGTGTCGTGGTTTGGGCCTGATGGGCAACCAACCCCCACAGCTGGTCACCCTCCCTTCCCCCTCCCCACCTGGGAATGGGGGAGGGATTAGAGGGGTGAAGGGAGACTTGCAGGCTGAGATAAGAACAGTTTAATAATGGCAATAAAATGAGAACAATGACGATCATAGGGGGGAAAAAAAAAAGAAATACAGAAACAGGCAATGTACAGCGTAATTGCTCCCCACCCGCTGAGCAATCCCCAGCCCGTTCCCGGCCAGCGACCCCGAGATACCAAGATCCCGCGATCGCAATCCCGGAAGCGAGAGAGAGAGAGAGAGAGCCCCTTCCCGACCACCCCTCCTCCATGTAGTGAGCATGTGTTCCATGATATGGAATATTTCACTGGCCAGTTTGGGTCAGGTGCTGTGGCCGTGCTCCCTCCCTGCTCCCTGTGCCCTTGCGCAGGGGCAGGACATGGGGAGTCAGAGAGTCCTTGGAGTCTCGGTAGCAGCTGAAAACATCAGTGTGCTAGCAGCATTTTTCCCATACCAAACCCAAAGCTAAATCCAAAACACAGCACTCATCTAGGCCCTGAAAAGGAATATTCACTCTATTTCAGCCCAAACCAAGACATTCAGAAAGGCTTGAGATGTGTAAAAATAAAATTTTAAATGCTGTTTTTAAACTGTCATTAGAGACAGTGCAAGACTATCACTGTCTTCTATTTTAGTTTGATTCTTGCTATAGTATCTTATGGCAGAAACTCTACAGAAATCTGAAAGAAACCCAAGTATTTCTTCTTCCTTTTCTTATCACTCTCTAAGTAGAGGGTTCTGTTTTTTTCTTAAAAAGGCAGTATTTTGTTCTAGCATTCAGACAGCACCCATCACCAATCTGCAATTTGTTTAAGCAAATTTGTTAGTGGGAAGCAGAAAAAAGCCTCATTGACAAAATGAGGAGAAAATGGAGGAGATCCAACACATACATGTTAGTGCCCCTCAGCTGAGCAACATGAAGTTCCTAAGAAATTTTGAACTTTTTAAAAATGCAAACTAAAATCTGTTCATTTAAAAGTTAACAACTGAGGGGGTGGGACATGAGAATTTAATTTTACAGAAAAAAATCCAGCATCCTTACAAAATAATTAGTCATATCTGGCAATACATAAGCAAGACTTCTATTTAGATTCTTCCCTGCCCAGGAGTCCAAAGTGAGTCCATAAAGACCAACTTGAAACAGCTACAGAATCTTTCTACTTCAGTTATAAAGTAATTTTTCATCTGTAGATCTGTCTGTTCTGCTTTCTACTACTAAAAATGAGGACATTTAAAAAAAAAAAGCCATCCTTAGGATAGACCAGATTCTCATCTATGAAAGGAAGTGTAGATTTTTGAACACAGCAACTTCTTAATAAAACTTTAAGTTCAGACTTCCATTAACTGGGATGAGTTGCACTACTATTTTGAGTTTGACCAGTTCACGAATTTGCAGTTCATTAATATTCTTTTCAGCTTTGCATACTCAAGAGTCCTGACATAAAATGACCCATTCAAGGCAGCTAAACAGATTAATGGCAGTGTCAGATGTCAAACTGAGGACCTGGATCCTCAGATTACTCTCTAAAGTAGCAGATCCCAGACATTTAAAATTTAAACCCATTCTGACACTTCTATTTCTGACATCAAGCATTGTACTATGTGCTCCATGCAGGAGCTAGAAGTTTACTCGCACTGATGGTTTCAATGTGAAAGGCAGAAAATTAGAGAAAGCTGAAGTTCTGCTGAGTGATACTGGTAGCTTTACCAGCTCACAGCAAGCCTCACTCTTTAACCTAATCCTACCATCCTACTTCATCGATATCTATGTCAGTCAGTAGTACTAGCTAACTCTGCACGACAAGAAACAGTATTACCTTTACCTCCTTTAAAGTTATTGCTTTGCTTTTCATCTTGTATCTTTTCACCAATCTGTTGGTTGCTTCAAATTCAGTTGTGTATAAGTTTTTTCTAATATGCATTATTTATCATTTGCCCATATATGTGCAACAGCACAAAAGAGCCCTCTGCCACTCTGTGTTCAAGATACACTTTTACTTGGAAAAATGGTTTCAAAGCTAGATGCCTACTCTAAACTCTGTACAATAAAAAGCACTGTCACTGCATGCTGTTCTGGCTGCTCAATTCAGAAAGAATTTCACAACAATCTTTACTGAAGTACATGCTTTCATAAATGGTAGCCTTCATGAAGTGAGGCAGCACTGCAACCTCTTAAAAAGCAGAAACGAAAGTCCTTATTAAACACATAAGGCTTGGGAAAAAGGATGGAGTAACTGCATTTTGATTTCCTCTTCTGTTGATGACTTCTGACACCACAAAACATCATCTAGTAGTCTGATGCACATCAATACTTTTCAGTAACGATTTACAGTTAGACATGCTTTCAAGTATGTTGTGTTAAAATGAAACAAAAATCGTATTAGTAATTCAGTAAGTTATCTTGAATTACTAAAAGATACATTAATATTTTGTTTGTGCCTCCAGAAAACAGCTACATGCGTAACTGAATGTAAATCATTGATTACTTTACAGCTGCAGAGCTCTCCAGGGAAGAGATATGCTACAGATCTCAAGCACCATGCTTGCACACAGACCAGACTCAGATGCAAAGCAGCAAGGTTTGTAGATGATGACATAATTCAACACAAAACAGCACAATCTTCCTTTTTAACACAGACTCGGTAATCAGAATACTAAATCTAGCTGCTCAGACTACATTACATGAATGTGCTCACATACCTTTAGGCCAAGAGGATAAACAACCTCCAGGACAGCAAGAGACCCTATAGAATTGCTACAGCCTGAAGCTTAGAATTCTGTACATATTTCAAGAGCTTGGTTCTTCCAACATACCAGAACTCTTCTTTTCTGAAAAGTTCAGCCCTGCCTGAAGCAGGACCTGTATTTCTTCCACCTTGGGGGATCTAACGGAGAGTTCCTTCCTGAGCAGTCACACTTCTGTCATCTCAGAGAGCTTTCTCTAGGAAAACTCACACATGGAGTCTTCAGTTTAGTAACACACAAGGTATGCTCTGGCCTTGCTGTGCACAAGCAAAAGCATTACAAGAGCAGCCTTATTAATGCATGTTGTACAAGTATTGTGAAGTATTGCTGCAGAAGCAGTGTATTACCAAGTATCTGAAAGTAATGTCTGTAATTTGGAAGTTGATTTTCCCTCCATCTCCCCTACCAAAATGTACCACTCTGGTCCATGAGCTCATCTTGTGGATAATACACAGCATGCTAAAAGCTTTTCCATTTCTTTTAAATGCTGTAATCACTCTCATGCCATCAGTTCCATGTGGTACTAGCAGCCTGAAGTAAGGTTTTCATTCAATTCTATTTGGTTTTGCTGCACTCATATGCAGCTCGTCATCTTCAAAATTCTAATCAAGAGTGCTTTCCTAAGAGGTCAATAAATTAAAGGAAGTCCAGTCCACAAAATAATTATTAACCTTTGTAGTCTGAGTCTGCAATTAACAGAAAACTTAGTTAACTCAGTTAATAGGAAAATACCCAGTACTGATTAAAGGGAAAGAAACAACTCAGTACAAAGAAATAACAAGCAGAGTCCACCTGTGTAGAAGGCTGATGTTTAATTCATCCTTACAGTTCAGAGTAAGAACTACCACTCATAACCCTTCTAGTGATTCAGTAAATCCCTATTCTTTTTTACCAAGACGAGGGAAATGACAGAATTAATTGCTTGAATAGTACCAACATATGTGCCATGCAGCATGTTGAAAATGCAATTTGTCTCAACCATTTTCACTACTAGACTGCATCTATCCAAGAGAAAGATATAGAGGCCTTGAAATGTTGCTTGTATTTACCTGTTATTTTCTCATTTTTCTAGTGTATTATTTATAGCCTCATTTGGGTGATTAAACTTGATAGTGTTTCTTGCCTGCTTAGCGTACGTAACTTTCATGTAATTAAACAGTTCCTTTAGTGAGTCTCTAAAGGGTATCTCAAAGCATAAAAGCAAGTTCCAAGGCTCTATTAAATTGTAAGCCTCTAGAATTTGGAGGCATTCTGGCACTAAAATCCCATCCCACTTCTCAATAAATTCACATATTTAAGAAAAAGTATTTTTCATTCTCGATGATAAAGTTCTACTCCTTGCAATAATGCTGATTCGGTATTCACAGATTAAAGCAAGATTTAGCATTATGTACCAAAAACTTCTCAAAAGTTAAAATCTGCAAACAGACAATCATCTGCAATCTGCAGTGCTCCTGTCTCAACACTTCAGAAAAGCTCAATGAGCATTCTAAAAAGTACCTTCTTTTCGTCCAGTAACAAGTAAAATCTGTCTTTCTGACCAACACATTTCTTTTGTATTTGTTTTGAAAGCAGAGGACCATCACGGGGGGATGGCAGGGAACTACATAAGTGACCTGGTACTCCTTCAAAGTATCAGCACTTCAGAGTGAATTACACCCAGCTTTGTGGGACTGCTCTCCTGGATAAGGACACAAATGTGCATGAAGTCATCCCTGGCTGCTGGGAAAATGAATTAATTTCTCGTAACCTGTAGATAAAGCGCCACACCTCTGAAACTTCTTTCTCCTCAGCTCTTCTGCAGCCAAGTCTCACAGTTCCCCTAAGATTTCCCGACGTCACCTCTAGAGGGCGATTTAAGACGCTCCTTCAATTTACCGTGGGCTTCCCACTCCTCCCCTCACCCCAGACCTTCAGCTCCTTCGAATGCACAGGCCTCAGCTAGATAGATGGACCACTTCCACATCTTGAACGATTTTACGTATGCAATTCACATGCATCATCGTGCAAAGAAACATTTCATCGGAGTTAGCATTACAATTATATTTGGATTTTCCTCCTATGCCTGGCCACTTGCTACCTATCTTTTGACATCTATTACCGTGTGGGCCTTTCTACTCCCAACATGGAATATATTAGATTTCTGGCTGCTCTCTGATGCTGAGAGCAAGAGCTGCAAGTCACATTCAATGCTAAGCGTTGTAAGAGTCTGACACATGCTTCAGGAAATAACCACAGCACCACTGCACTTTCATAACCTAGGCATGAAGGAATGCACAGTAATTCAGAGCTCGCCAGCCATCAGTGGTCTTTTTCAACCATTTAATGTGCATGTCTTCTCCCAGAAGGCTTGCTTGCATTCTGCTACTTTCAGCCCCACCCTCCTGCCTATCCCTTTTTGCTTTCTATAAAATAAATTTACAGTTTTGGCGACATTTTGCACATAGTCTTTCCCCTTGAATACTTAGATTAAAACCTACCTTGGCCTGAAGGATTTGCTGCCATTCTTTAATTTTCAGCCCTTGTTTTATACAGCTGCAGCTCAAATCTTTTATGCCCACAAATACCTGCAAAACAGGCACAATATAAGACAAACATATTCCTTTAGAAAAAAAGCTTGGATTTCATAGTTATAGATTTCATAAATGTGGCAACTATTACAAAGCATAAGCCATATACAGCATGCACTTTGCTTAAAATACGTAATACTACTTATAGTGTTCTGATTTAAATTTTTCACTTGAAATATCAAGAGTTGGAAACAATTCTTTTCAGGTTTCTAGTAACTTAAAAATAACCCTCAGGGTCATTCTGAATTAATACACACTTTCTCCTAACAGGATTTCTTCCTGACAAAGTATGTCAGGCTGCACTTAAGAATCATGTTAAAGCATTATACTACTTAAATGCTAAAGCCCTAAAAGACCCCAGTTTAGGCACTAACTCAAGAAAAGTGATTATCTGAGGAAAGATAATTTAAATCCCAGCTACAAGGCCTGCTGAAGGCTGCCATCCTCACAGCTGTGGCAGAACAAAAAGAGATGCCCGCTCCTCAGCCATACGTCACCTCGGGCCACCATCAACTTCTGTTGCCATTAAGGTGCCAGGCTGTGAAGTGCACTGGTGGAGCTCCAGCTCAGCCGGGTGGAGGGGGAGGGATGGGAGCACTGAATCCTGCGGGAAACGCGATCAGATGTCTCGGTCAGGTTTCAAGCGGAGACCAGGAAACAGTTACACCCCGGAACTGCGGGTCCCCGAGCTGCAACGCTGCTGCAACTTAAAAATGATTAACAGTGTTAATTAAGAGCAGCGACAGCGATGAGAATGCGTTTCTCCACGCGGGGATGGACCCTCCCACCCACCTTCCCCCCACATACACCATCGGGCGCCCCACACCCCCGCCTCCTCCAAGGACGGGCCCCCCCAGCCTCCTCCAAGGACGGGCCCCCCCAGCCTCCTCCAAGGACGGGCCCCCCCAGCCTCCTCAGGGTCCCTCCCGTCCCCTGCCCACCTGCCCGAGGGCTCCTGCTCCGGCGCTCGCCCCTTCCCCCCCACCAGCCTCTAGCCGCAGCCCGGTGGCCTCACCGCCATCCCATCCCTCCCCTCCCCTCCCCTCCCCTCCCCGTCCCGCCCCGCCCCCTGGCCGGCTCCACCGCAGCCAATGGGCTCGCGGCACATGCTCATGACACACGCACACGACGGCTCCGCCCCCCGCCCCCTCCCCCCACCCCCCACCCCGCGCCGTTTATATCCTTCCCCTGCGGTGGCGAAGCGCGTCAAGGCGCGCAGCTTGACGGACAGGTCGGAGTGGCCATTCCGCTTCAAGCGGGGGAGGTGAGGCGGGCCCGCTCCCGTCTCGCTCTGGGGCCGCCCCTGGTCTCTAGGCAACAGGCAGGGCCGGCGGGCGGGGCCTGGCATGGGGCAACAGCGCCTGTATAAAGGCACCGCTTTATAACCGAGAGTATCATCCGTGATCGAGTCTGTCACGGAGGGTAAGCCTTAGTCTTAAACAAAAACCTGTGGCTTGTATTTTACGCCCTTGGGGTGAAAATACTTCAGTGTGACACAAACCAAGCTGAGTAGTTGATTTGAACTGCGGCCCTTAACAGCTGTACTTCTGATCACGCATGAGTAAAATCAATTCTTAAGAACTGCAGTAAATAATATAACAGGCTACAAACAGATGGGGCCAAGAAATCAGTCACGCAGCCTACTTAAGTTTTATACATAGGGGGTTTTTTAAGGCAGTAAACAATTTTCATGAACTAAAGCCCTTTTTTTTTTTTTTTAAGAACCAAATTTAAAGATAAGCACAGAAAGTCAACTACTTTAATAAGTCCTAGTTCCATGTGTCTCCAGTTAGATATGCTTTTACTGCAGGATATTAAACTTTTTAATGTGGAGATTTTGGTGGTGCATGTAACAGGCATTTCTGAGCAAATGACAGTTATGGCAAGGGCAGTCTTGGATCTGGTAGTCCTTCCTCCTTTATGATGCCAAGCATTTAATCTGCTTCCTCTTTCATCAAGTCTTAGAAGTCTGTAACCTCATCGCTCTCCCTGCTTGAAGTGGAAAAAGGGCTTACTAAAAACTGTTGGTTTAGTTACAATTAAATTATATTGACAGGAACATACATAGGGTGTACATAGCACTAAGTGCCACACTAGTCTGTTAGCTTGGACAACCAAATATACACATAATTGTTGAATGCAATTGACAGTTTCTTAATATCTTCTGCTGCAACCAGCTATACTAGATGATGCAGATATAAATTACATTTTTGAGAGTGCATAGAATGTATGAAAATCCTATCAGTATCTATAATGATTCATATCATTTAAAATAGTGTACATTAGTATTCTGGGTAAAAACTCTGTGAGATAGGGAATGTTCTGCTAACCAAATAAGCTGTCTGTCCATGCATTTATACTTACTTTTCAAAGCCTCATTAAGTGTGAAAATTATAAAACTGAGCAAATTTATGTCTAGAGACTTGTAACATCCAGATTTAGAATTTGGTTACCTAGATTGTTTGCCTGGTAAAACCAGTCTCTGTGTGTTTGCATGTGCTAATGAAAACCCAAGGCAGCACCTGAGCAACCAGCAAAGATCTGACAATCTCTTTGAGTTTTTTGTTTGCTTTAAAGCTGTGTTAATTAATACTGTGGAAGGCAAACATTGCTGCCTTTCCCACATATTTTCAACTCTTCTCTTTGACTGAAGAGCTGATTGAGTCCCTTCTCTCCTTTTGATGTTTTCGGTTTGTGGGTTTTTTTCATTTTTGTAATTTCTCGTTGTGCCTTGAGAACTGTCATATGTGCTATTTTTTTTTTTCCTTTTAATTATTCTCTCTTGGATGTTCTGCAGTCCATTTTACCTAGACATCTTGTTTGTAATCCTTAACTGCTGAGAAGCATTGCAAGTGAAGAGTAGTGCAGTGCCCAAGCTAATAATCCTGCATGGTGCATTTCTCTGCATTGTCATGCCAGGACTGAGGATATAAGTGATTCTGAAAAGCTGTAGTTTGAGACAGTCAGGCTTAGTTGCTGGGCCCTTCTCTGACACACCTAATGCTGGTAAGAAGAATTAAGCAGTGGACAGTGATCCTTGGTTGGGGATCAGGAAAGGAAGACAGAAAGGGAAGAGGCAGCAGGGCAAGGAGGAGGAGTCATCAGCAAGGAAACTCAGGTTCAGAAAAGTTGGGAATCGTTGATTCTACAGTTCTGTATAAATGTGATGAAAATTGATCATAGTAGTAACTTTGAGCACAGTCCTGCCTCAAGTCATATGATCCTTTGGCTTTGGGAGTAGTTTCATATCAGTAAATTAATTTCCTCCTTGGGTTGTAGAAACAGGAAGGAATGTAGCTGTTGGACAGATTCTAACCTATCATGCATCAGAATACTTTAATTTACCCTGAAATTCGTCCTTCTTGTTCACCAAAATCAAAAAGTTACAAAATACAGCATTTATTGTGTGTCTATTAGGAAGTCATTACAAAATCTTCATTTTAAAAAAACCCTCTTCTTGAACATTGCCTCATAAATCTGGCCATGCTGCTTTTTGAGCCACTAAGATGCTGGTTTTCAGGCTGGCTGTTCTTGTCATCTCGGTGTGGAGGAAGCTGAGTATCTCATTAAATAAACAAAAGCTGAGTTAAATTATATGTGGTACTGAATGATCATAAACTGCAATATTTCAGAATGGTCATAGGCAGTTCCATTCAATACAGGCTGCGTGCAGTTGACAAAGCTGAGGTAAAACAGTGATTTGCTCTTTTTTTTTTTTCTTTTTTTTTTTTTTTCCCTAAGTGAAAATGGGCTGTACAGGATATCTCCTTGGATTGAGCCAAGATCTTCCAGAATGCTGTTATTTCCAACTGACAGTGCTACTCATACAGATCCATTCTAACCACTTCCTTTTATTTCTATGTTTATTATGCATGTCACAAAAAAGCCCAAACAAATCAGAATGTTTTGAAGAGTCTTTAGACATTTTAGTTGGAATACTTTTTTTATATCCAACTGTTTCAATATACTGTATCCATAGTTGTAGTCTTTCTCCACAGTTGGACTTCTGAGTTTTCATATGATAGCCATTTAGCACAGACTTCTACTTTCTATCACAAGTGTGCTATTTTCCCACAATACTGTTCATTGCTTCCCCATCAAACTTGGCACCTTTGAAGGCTTTTGATGCAGCAAACCCCTACCAATTAGCTTAAATGTGTGTATGAATAGTGCTCTTGACTTCAAAGTGATCCTGTCTCTACAGAGTTGACAAGCATGTGCATAAGATTTAACCTGGTAGGGTCAAAAGCCTGCCCTCTTCAATCTCAGCAGTACATGAGATAAGCTATAGTAGCATAGGATAGGAAGGACCTTTTTTCAAAAAATAGATGGATTTTAACTTTTTTACATCCTCTGGAATGGTCTTGTTTCATACTAGTTTCATATGTGCTTATGTGCAGATAGACACAAACGTTATCCTCTCCAGGTAGAGCACAGGGGGGAAAAGATAAAGCGGTCAAGGAGAGGCTGTTGACAGTGAGGAATAAAAAGCTGCTACTGCCATTGACCTGGCAAACCAGCCAAGCCTGACAGTCTGGCTCGTGTGGCCTCCAGCCTACCTTATTGTTTGTTGTCTGTACTGTCTGGAGTGTACTACAGAGAAGATTCCTGCAATTTAGGCTTGAAATAGAATACTTGATGAAAAGCAGGTGGGTTTTACATGTCTCGTCTAGTAAATAAACTCAACCTGAAGTTAGCCTCCTGCTATTCATTGTAAACTCTATTGCCATTTTATGTCTCATTATCTAAACAAGGAGATTAAGATGCATTATGAAAAGAATGTTACAAAACAACTGAGAGTCCTTTTCAGGCACACACTGAGCACTTACAATGCCATCTGCCATTATAGAACCATCCCGAGTGGTATTACTGGAGTACCTGGCACTCCATATCAGACAGCAGTAAATTACTGGTGCTGCCTATCTTTAAATTTGTAAATAGGTTTTCCTAGAGCTGACTTCCAATTATTATGAAGGAGTTGCTCCAATTCTTGCTTTGAAGAAAAGCATTTTGCCACCTAGTACTGTATTGCTGCCATGTAGTATATTTGCTGCTGTCTGTAACCTCTGACAACTTGTTTTTAAAATCAAGAATTGTAAACTCTCTTTTTTTTAGAGGATTTAGACAGGCAATAGAGAAAGCACACAGATCGCAGAACCCCCTACCACCAACTGTATGTATGTCATACCTCATGCAGCTCAATAGCACTGCATAACATCTCTTCAAAATTCATATTCGTTTATGCTGGCATATGTCCCACCCTTAGTAAAAGTGACAGGAGGTGGAATATACATAGAATGATGTCCAGTTGGTGCCCGAGATGCTCAATTATAACATATATCAGCCCTGGTTGAGAAGATACAGCTGAACAGCAGAATATGAGTACTTCCTGAACTAACAGTGCCTTAGTGGAGGTGCAAGAGTATCACTGAAAAGGCTGGATTAAACAGGAAGGATCTACATGTTGCCTTTTATCCTAGTAACAGTCCAAAGAGGTATCCTGTGGGACTTTCATTTCAGAGGCAGAACTATTTTATTCACAAAAAAACCACCTGAGACTGGTGATCTTTGTCTTGAATTGGTGAGATTCTTGATCTCCAAACTGACCATTTGTCATCTTGCCCAGTTAGTATTATATGCATACCCATTCTACCTTGTTTCTCAGCTGAAACGATGTAAACACAATAAATAGGAGAGCAGTTCAGGTTAACTTAAAAGGTGGACACTGAATAGCAGTCTCTCTTCATCCAGTCACTGATTTTGATTCTCGTTGTGTTATTCTGTTGGTTGAATGTTTGATGTGCTGATTGGTTTTAGCTTGGTCAGTGTTCAACAAAAAACAACTATCAATGAAAATTTAAAGGGAAATATTATAGGCATAAAATTATATCATCACAGTTGGTGGTATGGAGTAGGAACTGGAGAATGGAACATTACCATGTTTTAAATCACTCATAATCTTTTAGCAGAATTAAGACATGTATCTATTTCAGTGCTGCTACTGTTAGAAAAATAGGTACCTTCCTTCCTCAGTTTTTGACTGTACATTCCTGTGTCTGTACATTGCTGGAGCCAGATGACCCAGATGCTGATGCATTTAGAGGTTTTCTATTTGTGTGTGGGAAAAAGAAGTCAACTACATAGCGTACCTTTTTTCTGTTTTGTTTCATGCACAAAAGATTTGGAGTTGTTTACAGCCTTTGTTGATAATATGTGACTAGCTTTAATTAATAAGAATTTGCTCCTAACTCTAATTTTTCAAATGCAAGTCTTAAAATGTTTTATCTTCTGCCTTTTTGAAGTTCCAGCTCCTGAAATGAATTACATAAGATTGTAATCTTCCATGTTAAAAAGAATAAAAATGGGTTTCTCTCGTGGCTGAAGAGAAAGCTAAAAACTCGGCTTAATCTGTGATACGAACTTGCAGAGAAGTCAGCAAAGAAAAGGCCAGTCAGTTGTACAGTTTTTTCAGATTACAAATTTAAAGTAAGTTTCATATATTTTGAGATACGATTGATGATTTTTGAACTCTTCTGGTTCTCAGTATGATAGTTTGCATCAGCTACTGAAAGTACATATAACTGTTAAACCTAAACTGCTGTGTATACAGATATTCACACACTTAATACTCACTGAAATCAGAGGTAAATAGACTTCTGTCTTTAGTTCTAAAGAGATTTACAGATTCTCTAACCCTGTCCATTTAGTTTCACAAACTGCATGTTATTATCAGAAGTGAGTTGTTGTGAACATTTATATTGAAGAGACCTAGGGGTCAAGACAGGAAAGAGACCTGCTCAACAGTTAATCATCTTGACTTTATAGCATGCTGTGGTGTTGGAATTCTGAAATTTAAACATTACTATGATAGTCAGAATTTAGGAGTATCACTGTAATAATCACCGGGTTTGTCTATTTTCCTGGATAAAAGGCCTTCTACTGATGTCTTCTGAACTTTTCCCAACCAGACTTCAGCTTACTTGTATTCATACATGCACAACTATTCCTGTATTTTGCATATACTCATTCAGTTAATTATTTTAAAATGTTTCTAAGTAGTTTGTGTCAGATGAAAAGACTAAGGATGACATGTTTCAGCTCCAAGCAGAAACCATCTAAGTAACACAGATAAATGTGAATAAGGAGGCATATGTTGCCTGTACCTACAGCATTCACAGGGAGATAGAACAGTAAGTGAATCACTGGATCTTGGAACTTCATCCTTGTGTAGGGGAAAATTGAGAGGTCATCTCAGATTGCTTCAGAAACTAGACATATGACTTCTATAGCAACAAACATTATCTGAATTATAGAATCATTCAGGCTGGAAGGGACCGAGGGAGGTCTCTGGTCCAGTCCCTTGCCTAAAGGAGGGTCAGACATGAGATCAGACCAGATTGTCTTGAAAATCTCCAAGGGTGGAGACTTCGCAACCTCTCTCCACAACTTGCTCCTCTGCTTGGCTGTCCTCAGGGGAAAAAAGTTGTTTCTAACATCCATCAGGAACTTCCTGTTTTGGTTCCTGTCCCTCATCTCGTCCTCCTGCATGTACCGCTGTGAAGAGCCCAGCTCCATCTCATCCATACCCTCCCTGTGGTGTACTGGGGGCTGCAGTTAAGTGCCCCTAAAGCCATGTCTGCTCCAGGCTGAAAAAGCCTTGGCCCCGCAGCTTCTGCTTGCAGGGCAATGCTCCAGTCACCAACTGTCTCAGTGCCCTCCTCCAGTTTGTCAGTGTCTTGTAATAAGGGACCCACAATCAGACACAGTATTTCTGATAAGGTCTAATAAGCGCCAAGAAGAGAGTGATAAATCCTGCCCTTGAGCTGCTGCCTGTGCTGCTTGACGTGTAGGGAGCCTAGATACCTTTGGTCTTCTTTGCTGCAAGGATGCAGCAAGCTTATGCTTGGCTTGCTGCCCACCAAGCCAATAGATTTAATGAGTAGAAGGTTCCTTTATTACCTGCACAGAGCTAGAATGTCCCCAGGTTTCCAATTTTGATGGTGTTGGTGTGAGCGTCCTTGTCAGGCTTCCTTTGGAGAAGGGTATGAGTTGGAAAAACAGCTGTGTGAGGATGCTTAAGTAAGCTCCTGGTAAATCGTAAGCCTCTGAGATACAAGCCTTCACAAAATTGAAGGGAACCAATTCCTGAGCAGCGCAGCAGATACACAAACTTGGCTGCTGCTTTATCACAATAGTTTCCATTTAAGATTTGGATAATCTAGAAGAAAGCTGGGGTGTATGTATTCGTGCTGGCTAATTTATTTTGTTTCCTTTCCCTGACAGATTAATAGGTTGTTGTTTCTTAAGTGTAACGAACAAGACATACTTCACAGCCTCTTTCTCACAAGGGCCTTGGATGTGGTTGGGGTTTCTGATATGTTACCGGAGTTCAAACATTATGTAATATTGAGTATTTATTTATAGTAAGGATTTTTTTTTGTTGTATTTTTTTTTTCCTGTGATAAATCACATTTCTTTTTGTAATGAAAGTCCACAGTGTTGCAGTCCCATGTTTGTCCTGGTGTGTGGCACCTGGCATTGACACCTGTAAAACTTGCTATCTCAGCTTTAGGTAGCTGTGCTACACTTTTGATTTCAGTGGGCTGTACTCCCCTGGGAAAAGTTATAACGTGAGCAAAAATGTTTACAGCATCTTAGTCCTGTTGGGTCACATACCTGTCTGCATATCTCTATGTATCTATTGCTAGAAGGGATTATGAGTCTCAGAGTGTTCCATCTCTTCCCCCAGTAGCATGTTACCGTTACGTCTAATTAATGCTGAGCAAATTATTCACAAAGAATAATTTACCAGACAAATGTAGCTGCTTTACTTTCTCAGGGAATATCTTTAACCAGACTATGATTTTTGTCTTATTAATTATTCAGCAGTCATCAACACTTTTTTTCACATTGTTAACTGTTGACAGATCACTGAATTTTTGTAGTTGACCCATGCTGTTAGACAAATTCACACAGATCATTTCTACAGGACTTGATATGATCTTCCAGCTCATTTTAGCAAATTGCAAGAGATCTTGAATTTAAGGCTGCCTGAAAAAAATACAAAAATTCTTTCCACACAAGGTCAGAGTAAAACTTTCCAGTGCATATTCTTTAAAATTCTTTTTTTTTTCAAACAGAAAAAAAAAATTCTCTGCAATGGATTCCAAGCAGCTTCAGTCTGAAACATTACTCTACAAAATGGGAAGTCTCTCAAGTGCGCTGAAAGAAAACAGACAGTCGTTGAAACCGTTTCTGTAGTCTGCTGGCCTGGTGTGACAGACATCTCTTTGCGTGTCTGCTCGTAGTGTGCACCCACCCCGCTGTAAATACGAGGTCCCCGAGGAAAAGCCTCGCCCCTGTGCCCGGCCTGGTGGGTCGGTGTCGCTGCTGGGACTGGAGGAGGCGCCTCCGAGCCCGACTGCCATTTTAGCCACCTTTATACCCATATCGCGACCGACACGGGCTCTCGTCCTGCAGGGAGACCTGCGGTTTTTTTTTCAGAGTTTCCCTTCAAACGCGTGACTGCTTTGAAGTCGGCGAGCTGAGCCTGCGAAAGCCGAAGGTTTGCTCCTCCGGCTTTTAACCGCTGTTCGACACCGGCGCCAGCGCTGCAGCCGGGAGGTCACCGCCCGATGGCAAGGCTGCGGCTCCCGGGGGGGGCGGCAGCGCCCGGGGGCTTCGCGGGAACCCCGGGGAGGTGGGTGGTGTGGGCGGGGGAGTGGGTGCTCCGCGGGGCCCCGCTGCCGCCGCCCGCCCGGGCGGTGGCTGGCACCGGCCGCCCCCGCCCCGCCCCGCCGGGGGCGAGGCCTGCTCCCGCCGCAGCCCCGCCCGCTGCCGCCGCGCCGGGGCGGCCCCGCGCCTTCCGCTCGTCGCCCGGGGCCGGGGGTGGGCGAGCGAGCGGGGCGGCCCGGTGGCCGTCGCCGGGCGGGGCGGGCAGGTGGCGCGGATGGTGCTTGGTGAAAGGGCGGGCGGGCGGCGGTAGCGCGGGTAGGCGCTGCTCTCGCTCCTCCTCCTCCTCCGCCTCCTCCTGCTCCTCCGCCGCCGCCGCCTCCTCGTAGCGCGGTGGTGGTGGCGGGCAGGCTCCGGCCGCGGCCCCGCAGCTCCCCGCCGAGGCGGCGCGGCCTCCGCTCCCTTCGCTCCCGCCTTTCCTCGGCCGCTGCTCGGCCCCGCCGCGATGTCGGGCGGCGCGGCGGGCGCCCCCAAGTCTCTCGCGTCCTCCGGGCCCAAGTCGCTGCGGGAGATGCCGCATCCCCTGGCCACGTCCAGCAGCGAGGAGATGGGGCCGGCGCTCACCCCCAGCCCCGACCTACTCCTGCCCCGCAGCATCGCCGACAAGGTACGGCTCGGGGAAGGGGGGGGGGAGGAGGGCGGCATTTTGGGGTGGTGGTGTCTCTGCTTTTGAAGGGGAGCATAGAGAGGAGGGAGATAGGCTCTGTGTGTGTGTGCTTCCTCGCCACGTCCCCTTCCCTGGCTGCCTCCCTGGCTCCCCGCGGGGAAATGAAGCCCTGGGCGCTGCTGACATCCATTACAAGAGCCCGGGACTGCCCGAGCGGGAGAAGGCACCCGGTGTGGGGGTTGCAGGCATCATCTCCCTCTCTGCGAGGGAGCAGCTGGGACTCCGGTGCTCCCATTCTCACTGGAGTGGGTGCGAGAGGCAAGATTTACTGATCCTGTCTTCCTGTGTCTCATACCCTCTACGGATGGGTCTGAATGCTTTAGGAATTGCTGCGACTCCCTCGCTGTCTCCTTCCTGTAGCCCTCACAGGGAAGGCTTGGAGCTGCTGTTGTTCCTTTACCACCGAGCTTGCCATTACCTTGTCTGTGATTATCCTCTCCAGAGCTGAGCTCCTGCTTGCTTCTTTACAGCAGTGTAATATGGAAATGATGCTGTTGTAGGAGTATCTGTGCCTGCTTTCTCTTCCCTAGCTCTGGCATGTGTACACAGGATACTAGCAGGCTTTGTGAAGTGCCTTGCTTGTGTGTGAGCCTTGGATGTGATAATTCCTGAATGTGAACACAAAAGTGGCAGCACAGCGCTCCTGATATGTTAAGTACTCTTGTAAGGACTTAGTATTTCTATGGGCAGACTTCCTGAAATGTGTTAAGGTAGCATTTCCTGGGAGCAAGGGTTACAAGGGGCGAGATTGATTTGAGACTTTATAATAAGCAGGTATGGGCCAGCTGGTGTGCGTACAAGGTGTTACAGAGCTGCTGGTAGCAAGAGATGCTTGCTGTAGCTGTATAGTTATAGGGAGCATGGATCTGCTTCTGGGCAGGACAGATCTGCTAGCCTCCAAAGGCCTTGGGGGTGCCAGCAGTATCTGGTCTGGTATGCTCCCATGCACTAGGGGAATGAGTCAAAGTAGTCTGGCTTCTTCCATGTGTCACCTTCTGCTGCCCTGTAACAGTGCTGTACAGACTCAGCACTTGTTCCTGACGATGTAAGGAACCCTCTTCTTGAGCATTTGCCTACTGTTGCTCAAGTGAGATGCCTGGCTTACCTTCACTCTGGGAACATGCCTTCATCTGAGAAATTTGTTGAAGAGTTGATGGCCTTCTGAGAGAAGGAGTTATGTGAGTATGGTGGGAGTAGAAATTATGGAGAGTTTTGTCTATGATACATTGGATATACTCATTTAACTAGGTTGCTGTTTGACCAACCAGTAGCATTAGGAGTTGGCAACTGCCTTCATGGGTCTTCTCACAGCACAGGAGTGCAGTGCTGGTACTGTACTCTGTTAACACTGTCTATTCATACTGCCGTGTAGCTGCTGAGGAGCTCTGTTCTGAGGAATAGCTCATACCCCATAACTTCTTTCTTCAACTGTATTAAAGAGGTTTTTTGCTTTTGGAGTGCAAGCAAGCTCCTTTCCACTTTACTGCTTTGAGATGTCTGAGAAGTATATCCGCATCCCTGATGACCTAGACACAGAAATACCTCTCTAGCCTCAGGCTGTGGTCAGCTAACTTCTTGTCAGTAGGAAGATACTTGCCCAGTTTTTTTATCAGCAACACAGGTGAAGTCCATTTTCTAGTAACTGTAGTATTGTCCTGTTCTAGGTACTTGGCAGAGCAGATGTACTGTACTCTAAAGGGGAGAACAGAAAGGGGCTGAGGTAAGTGATTTTTAGAGTCAAGAGCAGCTCAGGGGTTGACCTGGAAGTGACACTAGGGTAATGAGCCTTGCAGAATAAAGGGATTTCCAATAGGAAGAGAGCAGCATTCTTTTTTTTCCTTCTAGCTGAATTAGCAGAAAAAGCCAAATGTCTGATCCTTCTGATGGACAGAATCCAACAGCTCTGCTGTATGAGGGATATCCCTTCTTCCACTTAATACCTGATGCACTGACAAGAAAAAAAATTAGTTGATTTCTCTCCCGCCTCAGAAAAAAATTCAGTGAACAAACTGATATTTATAAGTTTAAGGCAAGAGTAAACTTAAAGTTCTTGCACTGTGTATTTGAGTAGTTTAGAGAGTATGGTAAGTGGAGGCAAATAGGTAAAACTGCCTTTTAGGTGGTTAGTATGCCTCCTGATCTTAATCGCTGGTGGTCATTTTGAGAGGCTGGCTCACTAATCAACTAACAATGTGTGGATAGCTCCAAGAGTTGGATAACAAAGGGAAGTCAGTATTCAAGTCTGACTTGAGTTTAAAGCTCAGCAGCTGTTCCTTATTGATTCTTAAATAGGAGCTGTGCTCATCTGCTCTCTTGGCTTTTCTGGAGAGTCTGGTGGAGATTGGCACTGCAGAAGTTTGGGTTGAAGTCTACTGACTGAGAGCTGCTTTGAAGCAGGAAGCTTATGTAAAGACCACTATCCATACCCAGGCCTGTATTAGGATATCCCTCTGGCAGAGGGATAGTGGCAATGGCTGAACCATCAGCATGAACTGGATAACTTACTTTTTTTGTGTTCTTCTTACCTGCTTTGAGCAAATACTTCCTAAACATTGTTGCAAGACAAAAGTCCATAAGGCTGACATCCTCTGAGGGGAGAAAGTGCAGAAGTAAGGGAAGTTGTCTGCTCATAAAGCAATGTTTCAGTTTCCACTGCCACAGATGTGCAGCCTGAAGTGGCTAAGCCTCTACCATCACTGCTTTGCATTCTTTAAAGCATGCTTTCCTGGCTTTTTTGGAGACGCTGAGTGAAAAAGCTAGTTTTTCCTGAGTCAGAGGAACCTGGCAGACAGAAATACTGCCTGTGTGTCTCCTGTTGTTGTTTTTTGTTTTTTTTTTTTTTTTTTTTGATTCAAACATGGGAATAATCTAGTAGCTTAGAACCTGTCTAACTTCAAAGTCTCATAAACCTTTGGTTGCTGCTTAAGAACAGTGGCTAGTGCTACTGGAGGAGTAGGTCATAGGAAAGGGAAGGAAATCCTTCTGTGCTGTTTACTATGGATTCCCTGGTTGTGAGGCCCTCTAAATGGACTAGTTTCAAGTTTTCTGAGTCTTATGAAGAGAGCTGCAGAGCTTTCCTTGTGTCTGAAAAAGAGTCTTCATTCTTACTTGTAGGAGAGAGCTGTTTTAGGAGCCAGGTAACCTTGACTTCTGAGTGTCATCTAACCTCTTAAATGAAATGGACATTTCTGGTTAAGTACTTGACTTTCACAGTGATTTTGCAGCAAGCATGAAATACTGGAGTTGTAGATGGTCTCTGAAGCACTTCTGTATTGGTCAGGTGTTTCTGTAAAGATATTTCTGTTCCCTTTAGGTTTAATGGCATAAAATGTTGTTTGTTCTGATACCTGACCACTGTCAGCTTTTGTGAGCTTATTGTTCCTTTATCCTTGCTAGCCATCAAATAAGGAGACAGCTAAAGCTGAAGCTAATCAGTACTGACCCCCCACCCCTTTTTTTTTTGACATCAGGTGAGAGAAACATGCAGGAAGAAACAGTCCTTTGGGATGCATGATAGTGTCCATTGCAGAGTTAGCTGTAAAACTGAGTTTTTGTTCTTTTCTAGAGCTTTTGGAAGGCATGCAGGGTAATTGAGATCTGCTTTTCAGAGCAGATCCTCTGCAGAAGGAGGTAAGATAAATGGGGAAGTGTCAGTATGGATTTCTCTCCTTTTTTTCCTTAAATTTTTTTTTTTTTTTTAAAAAAGGAAGTAGTGCTTGCATGTGACTGCTTGAATCCAGTTCACTAGTTTGTCACTTTCAATAGTGAATGTGCTCTGTGCATGAGGACAAACACTTTGACACTGAGGAGAAAAGGCGTTATTAACGGGTTACTTGGTTTGGAGCAGAGGTGAGGAGTCCATGGTACTCTTCTGTGTAATGGTACCCGCATGGTTGTGGGAGTATGATCAGACTCAGGATGCAGCCCCACTGAGGCTGTACAGATTTAATAGCATGCTGCTAAGTGTTAGAAGTGCCAGGCTGTGCAGAATTAGAAAGTGTTCGGTATGGCTTATTCCAGCTGTCCTCTCTACCTGTGGTCCTTGCATTCCCTCTAGATTTGTGTTGTGTGAGTATCTAACAGGGAGATGTTGGCTGTTTTTGCTATGGTTTGCTCTGGTCTGCCTTGAGACTGGCAGCGATCTGATAGGGTCCTAATTCCCAGTACTGGTTTCTTGTCTATCCCTCCAAAAGCTTTCCTATCCCACCTGTCCTAGGGCTCAGACTCCCTTGTCCTCTTTCAGACATCTCTAATGACCTGATGCTGTACCTATGGCCAGTTACCTATAACCTGTTCAGCTTTTTTTCTTTGAAGATGCACATGCCTTGTATTTGTCTCTGTTAACACTAGATAGCTGAAGTGAGCTTCCAGGCTGTTTTACAGATATATCAAGCAGATCTGATGTGAAATACCAGGCTTGCAATGGATATATGGCTTGAATTTGCTAGTTTGTGGAGATGGATGTTAAAACTCCTACTGCAAACTTCTGACTACTGTCTGAAACCTATTTGCTTGCATGTGACCCATGGCTCATCTGCTTCTTTGTTACCACCCTGGTGAACCAGTAGGCCCATATTAGCAACTGATCAAGTATAAATATGTGGTGTGTTTGCTGGAGTGCTGTTACTTAGCACTCATTCTGGAAGGGAGCCTGGCAGCTCTCCAATAAAAAAATATACTGAGAGTCTGGAGCTCTACTTCCAGCCTCCTTGGTTGCTAGTTTATAATTATTGCTCTTAAGTTTATCCACCCACAGATGAAACCAGTTTGCAGTATAATCTGAAATCTTAAAATAGATCAGCCTGGGCTTCTACAAACCTCTTCCTTCTCTAACTAAATGACAACTGTTAAACTAGCATCGTGTATTTTTCTTAAAGCAAGCTGGAGGTAAGTTCTCAGTCTTGGGAGAGACGGAGGATTACAGAAAGTCAGGAACTGAA